CTTCCCAGGGAAGTGGTCCTTACCCCTACCTTGGGCAAATTCAAGAGGAGGTTGGTTGATCACCTGTCTGGGGTCTTGTGAACCCAGCATTCATTCCTGGCTGTGGCAGGGGGTCAGGCTAGATGATCTGATCAGGTCCCTCCTGACCCTAGCTACTATGAATCTACTAGGTAGTTTTCTAGTCTTTACTTATAAAGCATCTTCAGGCAGCAGCCTGGAGTCTTTGGTTGATCGTTTTCAAAATGCGCCCGAGGAAGAGAGCGAGCTTCCCCTCCCCTGGGTGACCAGGTTGTACCAGATAGCAAACAAGTGAAAGAGACAGAGGTATAGCTGGACTGACCCAAACAGGGGTGGACAGAGGGGGATTCTTCACATCCAGTGCCCCCTGCAATATAGGCTTTGTAATATAAATGAGACTCTTGGTGCATCATAAAAGATTAACTTGGCTCTCAGCAATGGCCTGCTCTTGCAAATGAAGCTTTTGTAGTGGCTTTGTTTGCTCATGCCGGAAGGGAATCAAGTTGGTCAGGCATGACTTGCCATTGGTGTGTCCATGCTGACTGCTCCTGATCACTTTCTTGTTCTCCAAGTGCTTAGAAATAGATTCCTTGAGGACCTGCTCCATGATTTTTCTGGGGACCGAGTGAGGATGACTGGTCAGTAGTTCCCTGAATCTTCCTTCTTCCCTTCCTTAATGATAGGCATTGTTTGCCCTGATCCAGTCATCCGGAACCGCCCCAGGTCACCACCACTTTTCAACCTCGCTGGCCAGCGCTCCGCAACCTCAGCAGGCAACTACCCCGCCCCCACCCTTGTCTGAACAGCCGCTCCCGCCTCCGCCCTGCCCGAGCCAGCGCGGGGGGGGGGCGGGGCCGATATCCCGGACGTTCCCGAGGGGCGGGGCCGTGGGAAGAGGCTGGGGATTGGCCGGAGCCGCTGACTGTAGACGCTGAGCGTCTGGGTGCGAAGGGGCGGGTGCAGACTTTGGGGGCGGGGCGACAGGAGGAAGGGGCGGGTCCAGTCGCTGGACGTTT